TTACAGGAACATCCAAAACTCATTCCTCTTGAAAAGTATAGGGCAAGCTTCTTTAACATAAATACACTTATTATTTTTAACATGAATATTCATTATAATAATGAGAACCATAAAAAGACGTAATGAGAAATTACATTTTTCAGAAAATAAAATTTTGCTGTATTGTTCCATGTACTAAGAATATTGTGTCATCATGTTTACTGAAAACTTTGAAATTCTTCCATCTCCACCCCCAACAAATCGATTTCCCCAAGTAGCACTGATCCTGCCAGTTCCAGTCTAGACTTCACATAGGAGACCTTAATTGCAAACTTACATCAGGCCAAAACAACACAAAAATGTCCAAAATACAAAAGAACAATAATGGCTCACAAAAAGAGCAACAAAATTCCGCAAATGAGCCCTGACCTTGGTGACTCTTGGGTCTCTGACATACCACCTCAAATCATACAGCTCATTAAAACAATTTATTAAATAGATAAACCACACACTCCATTGAGTGCCAAATCTCATATCTAGATAATTTGCACCATTGAATTCAAAATCCAAATTCTATCCCGAAATCCTTATAACTTGCGAGGGGTGAGTTTGATTTTGATGTTTAGAAGAGCTCAACAAATCCCAACAAAACACCAAAGGACCTAATTCAAGAACCATGCACCATAGCAAGGATGGGAAGCAAATTACATTAAAATAAAAGGCAAAATAAAACTATGAGGTATACTTGAAGAGTATATGTTGAAAAGTGAAATGATGGAGAAGGATTGGATTTACTGGCAAGTTCTGCTCCAGAAAACACTCCTTGCTGTTATATGAGAGTGTCCGACCAATATCCATCACCACCCTCACCCAACGGTCACCAGCATCAGAGACTGCAAACTTAAGCTCCCATAGCGAGTTTGTAAGCAAAGGAGAAAGAACGATTCACCTGGAAATTGAGGAAGAGAGGGGGAAAAAAGAGGAGTGGGGAAAAACAATGGGAAACACGTGAAAGAGAGGGTAAAAGGTCAAGAATGGAGAGGAAAAAGAAAACAGAAGAGGATTTACCAGGCAGAAGGAGTGAAGGAGTCCATATCCGTTGACAATCTCTGAGGACTTGCTAAGAGTAGAACTAAAACGAAGAAAAGATGAAACCCAAAGCGAAAAATGGAGGTAGCGGAAAAAAATAGCATTCGCATTCAGTGCTCATCAAGTGATGAGTACCGTCCAGATCTAATCTGGACGGTCCATATTTGATTTTAATTTTATTTTTTTTAAATAATTATTTTAATAGATATAGGATAAAAAATAAAGATAATCTCTTAACTATTATTTTTAAAAAATATAATTTTTTTTATTTTTAAATAATTTATTAAAAATATTAAATCTGGACGGCCCAAATTGCTCATCAGGTGATGAACACCCGGTGCTCATCACTTGATGAGCACTGAATGCGGACGTGAGAGCGTGTTGCAGAGAGAAAGCGTGTGGCAGTCAATTTTGGGATATGCCGTATTTAATTAATATTAGTATTAATTTTTTTAATTTTTTCAAAATCCAAATGCTTTTACAAAAACTACATAGAAATAAACTCGGTTTTTAAGATCTTGATTTTAATGTTAGTTTTGGAAAAAATATTAAATTAACTGTAAGACAAAATTATTATCTATCTATAAAAATTGACTCAAATGTAAAAGATTTACAAATTTAAAGAATCTAAAAAATTTACTATATTATAAAGGTAAGTAAAAATATTTATATTACTAAGACAAAAATATGTATATTATAATATTTTTATATTTTTAAATATAAATTTATTATGAAAATTGAAAGATTTAAATATTAACTTTTTAATTGCATTAAAATTCAAGTAATTTATGCATGTTTTAATTTTTAATTTTAAAACTAATGCAAAATTTAAATAGGGATAATGACAAAAAAAACTGAAATTTTGAAAATGCCACACAAGAAATATCAACAAAAATTTGTTGTCATTTATAAATTTAGATTTGTCAATACCAAATAACATTGTGTTATCAAACCTGATTTGAAATTTTCAATTTTCAATTTTTTTTCCGTCATTCTCCCATTTAAATATATATCTAGTAATTTTATATTTATATCATCATTGTTATTTTTAATATTATTTTTTATTTGATTATTATATTTTAAAATATTTGATATAACTTGGAAAGGAAAAGTCAAAAAAGCATAAGAAAAAATAGATCTTGCAGATTTTGACGAGAGAGAGAGAGAATAGAGAATGAGGGAATTTCAATTTTTTTTTGGGTTACAAACGTGGCCCAAGGCCCAAAAACAACTAAGTTCCTCCTACTCTAGTTCCAACTCCGACCACATCGTCCAGTTTACTTTCACTTTCAAACAAGTTTCGTACTTTCAACGGCGGCTGCAACCATATCTCTGAGTCTCCTTCCAAGTCGCGACTCATCTTCACTAGCAGATCAGCACAGCCATTTGCGGCCCTCGGGATTGATCTCACCTTTACCTCCCACTTTCTATTCATTAGCAGATCTGTAATTTGTCTCATAAGAGTGCTCTGAAAGGTTCCTTGTTTCTCCTTGCCCTTCAATTTCCTGGCCAGGATTTTGGAATCCATTTCTATCTCCACTTTTCTGAACCCCATGTACCAAACCATGTCAAGTCCTTCCTTAATCCCCCACATTTCTGCTTCTAGCACACTGCAAAAACCCACCTTCCTTGCGAAACCCCCAATCCATCGCCCTTGGTCATCCTATATCAATCCTCCACACCCTGCTTTCCTAGGGTCTCCGCTACATGATCCATCGGTATTCAACTTGACCCACCCATTTTTTGGCCGTTGCCACATTTTTGACCCTGCTTCCTTGGTTTGCAAGTGGGTGCTCATTACTCCCTTCGCCTCTACACATTCATGAGCAAAGCTTCGACATCTTCGGACCAGATTCCACACATCACACGGCTTTCCTTGGAAGATTTTCTCATTCCTCTGCTTCCATAGGATCCAGCATGTGATTCCAAAGGTCATAGCCCAAGGTATACTTCCTTCTCCCTTCTTCTCTGCGAGGTTGGATTTGAGCCATCTGGTGAGCGTCTCTTGGTAAAAACCCATTCGTTTGGATCCACATATCATATTCCAAACTTGTTTAGCCTGGGTACAGTCTCGTAAGACATGCAATGTTGTCTCGAGTTTTCCACACACCTCACAGGTCCCCTTTGCTCCCCATCTTTCGCATCTTAGGGCATTCGTATGTAGCCGATCATGGGCCGCAACCCATAGGAAATGGTGGATTTGTTCAGGGCCCTTCCACCTCCAGACCCTCTTCCAAATCTCTTCCTGTGCTCCATTCTTCTCTCCCCTTATTGCGTTATAGCCCGCTTTAACTGTATAGTCACCCTCCTTTCCTCCCTTCCACAATAGTCGGTCTTGGCCTTCTTTTGATGGAGGCAAGATCGCTCTAATCAGCCCGTAGGCTTCCTCTTTTAGGACATTGTGAATTTTATCCCACTTCCACGACCCTTCCTCCCCCACGACATCTGCAACCTTCCATTTCTTTGCATCATTCGATATCCCTTGCTTTAGCAAGTTTTTTAACAGTACACCTTCTCGTACCCATTCATCATCCCAGAAGGATGTTGATTTTCCGTTTACAATACCCTTCCAAGAAAATTTGTTTGTGTAGTCCCAAAGTAGGCCTATATCCTTCCATAACAAGGAAGCGTTCTTTGGTACCTTAAGGATTGAAGAGAGCTCATCGCCTTTGTTGTATTTGTGCTTCAAGACATCACACCACATTCCTCTTTCCCCACATCTCAACTTCCAAGCTAGCTTTAACAGACATGCTTCATTCATGTCCCTTAGACTTAAGACTCCCAATCCTCCATTCATCCTTGGCCTTTGCACTTGCTCCCAGCTCACTAAGTGCATTTTCCGCCTATCAGGATCATGTCCCCAAATGAAACTGCGCTGGTGTTTTTCCACCTCATCCAGCAACCCCTTTGGGAGTAAGCTGCACATCATAGGGTAGATTGGGATAGCACCTAGAACTGATTTAGCCAACGTAACCCTCCCTGCCATACTGAGACAGTTTATTTTCCAGCCAGCTAGCCTCTTCTTCACCTTTTCTAGGATGTAGTTAAAGTTCCCTCTTCTTTCCTTCCCATAATGTAATGGTATGCCTAAATATCTGCCCAGGTCCTCTGTCTTCCTGAATCCAGATATCTCGGTTAGTTTGCTCCTCAATTCGACCGCTACATTCCTTGAGAACAAGATTGCTGATTTTCCTTTGTTCACCTTCTGCCCAGTTAGTGCGCAGAATTCCTCTAAACAGCTTATAGTGTTACACATATGCTCCTCAGAAGCTTCCCCAAATAACAACAAATCATCAGCAAACATTAGATGAGTTGCTATAGGTCCCCTCCTTCCTACTTTAATTGATCTCCATTTACTAGCCCTTCTCGCTTCCTGAATTATGTGTGTCAACTTTTCCATAACTAGCACAAACAAATAAGGGGATAGGGGATCCCCTTAGCGCAAGCCCCTTGAGGGTTTGAATCTATTCGTTTTGACACCATTCCAGAGAACCTAAGTCGAGACAGTGGTTACACATTTCATTATCAACTTCCTAACTTCTTCCTCCAAACCTACTTCCATGAGAATCTCTTCCAGGCAACTCCATCTCACCCTATCATAAGCCTTCTCAAGGTCAATCTTAATTGCAAAGAAGCCCTTTCTTCCTTTCATCTGTCTCATCGAGTGTATTAATTCCTGGGCAACCACAATATTATCCTGTATCTGTTTGCCCGGTACGAAGCTAGCTTGATTAGGGGCTACTACCTTCCTCATTAGTCCTTTCAGTCTGTTAACAAGGATCTTCGGGATACACTTATAAATAACGTTACAGAGCGCTATAGGTCTCATCTGCCTTAGAGTTTCAGGTCTATCTATTTTTGGTACCAGCACAAGCAACGTACCATTACTCTCCTCTAGCTTTACTCCTCCTCTCCAGGCCTTCTGTATAAATTCAAAAACTTCCTCCTACACCGTGTCCCACATTCTTTGGAAGAAAATTGCGGGAAATCCATCCTCCCCTGGAGCTTTGAAGGCCTTGGTCATCAATCCATTGCCCCTCATCATTTTTGAGCATGGCTACCTTATTTCTCCTCCTACGGGTCAGAGTTTTTAGGTAGTAATATTTTGTATTACGATCACCATCGTTAATCCACTTTCCTCTGGATTTCTGAAACCAAAGGATTTCCTCCTGCTTCAGCACTTCCTCTAGCTCCCCTTGTAGCTGGTCCTCCAACTTAGAAAGGAATCTTGCTGCTCTGCCTTCTTTACTGATCTTACGTTGAATTCCCCCAATTCTCGCCAGCAATCTATTTTTCTTCCAGCTTATGTGCTTGAAAACCTCTGTATTCCATTCGACCAAACTTGGTTTTAGTAATTCTAAACTCCCTCTAACTCGTTCTTTTTTCCTCCAGTTTTCCTCCATAAATTTCCTAAAGTCCTCGTGTAAAAGCCACGCTGCTTCGAATCTGAAGGGGCGTTCCCCCAATCCACACTCATTATCATCTAAACATAACAGAATGGGGCAATGGTTTGAACATTTCAATCTAACTAGATTCTTCAAGACAGCCTCAGGGAATCTAGTTCTCCAGTCTATGTTGCAGAGGGCTCTATCCAGCCTTTCATAGATTCTTGCAAACCCAGGTATCAATGGCCCCTTCCAGGTAAACCGACTGCCCCAAGTCTCTACCTCCAACAGGTTGCAAGCATCAATATTATCATTAAAGATGGTACATCTTTTCTCATTCCTTGGTGCTCCCCCTTGTTTCTCCAAATCCCTCCTTATATCATTTAGATCTCCTATGACTATCCACACCCCTTCCATTTCTCTACTCAAGCGCGCCATATGATCCCAAAACACTTGTTTCTCCCTGTATCTCGGAGTAACATAAGCAACTGTCAGCTTCCAAGCTTCTTCCCCTCCGTAACTAACTGATAGATGGACAAATTGTTCATTTAGTTCTAACAGCTCCAAATGAGCCTTTTCCTCCCTCCAACCTATCCATATTCCTCCAAAGAAACCCAGACCTGGGCTAATCAACCACTTTCCATAGCCTAATCTTCGAAAAAGGCCCTCTGCTCTGTCATGTTGTATTCTAGTTTCAAGCAAACCCAAGATATTTGGCCTGTTATTATCGCAAGCCAGTTTCAGTCCTCTTCTAAAACCTTCACTCCCAGCTCCTCTACAGTTCCACACCATAATTCTTTTCTGCATTGTACTCATCATATGACACTTATCAATGATTAATCCAGACTCATAAGACCCAAGTCGGCTTCGCCAGGACTTCCCTCCTTCTCTATCATTCCTGGTGGCTCATCCTCTCTTCCACCACATGGATCCGGCAGCCTTCCTTCAAACTTGCCCCTTTACGCTGCCAGTTCTCTTGCCACCTCTGGGGTTTCGTAAACAACGCTCTGGTCAAGTTCTTCTGTGCAACCCCTATTGACTCCTCTAGCTTCCACCAAGGCCAAAGCACTCTCCCCATTCACCTGTCCCCATTCCTCTCCCTGTTGTCTTTCTCTTCCTAGCCTCCTTACAGCATGTCGGGTTACATGTGTCCCTGGAATTGCCTCCTCGCTACTCAAGTCATGCTTCTGATCTATCATCATTATAGTTTCTGTGTTGCTTCTTTTTTTTCTTGTACCATTGCTTTTCTGGTATCGGATCCCTTACTGGTGCATTTTTTGTATTCTCCTCACCTCCCATAACCTCTTCTTCACCTAAATGGGCAAATCTGGACCCCATTCCACTCACACCAGTATGCTCCTTTTGCATAGTTTGGAATTCTCTCCTCTGCCTCCTTGGTTTTTAAGCTGTGGTCTAGCTTCCGTATAGCTTCTGTTCTTTCTCTGCCTCCATACCTTCCCCCTTTCCCTCATCTTGCCCTTTTCCCCCGGGACACTCTTTCTCCAAGTGACCATATCTCCCACAATTGAAACATAGGAGATGCAATCCCTCATAGGTCACAGGCCTCTCTACATTGTTAATAATGTACACTGGCAGAAGAGGCTCTTTCAAGTTGACCATGACTCCTACCCTTGCATATCCTCCTCTAGCTAGCGTTGACATAGATAGATCAACCTTCATTGTTCGTCCTATCTCATTACCCATCGCCTCAAGGATATCTTCCTCATAGTATTCCAGAGGTAGATCCGGGAACCTAACCCACACTAGGACTTCTTCAATCGCCTCCGACAAGGGGTCAAAGTTCGGCTTCCACTGCCTCACAGTCAGATAGGAATCGGAAATCATCCACGGTCCTCCCAGTACTACAATTTCATAATCATCTATTGCAGTAAATTGGACTACATAGAAATCGTTCGATAGATCAATAACTGATACTGAACCTTTCTTAGCCCACATTTTCTGGATTCTTTGTTCCATTATTCGGTTACTCATTCTTGCCCCTAGAAGCTTAACAATCAGGCTAAGCTGAAAAGGCTTCCTGATCTGCTGTAGGGCTCTCTCAGCCAGGACAAACTCTGGTATGTTAATCGCTCCTCTCTTGTGCTTCAACACCTTGATTTCTGATCTTAGCGATTCAAGCTTCGGCACCTCATCTTGCTCCCGACTTCCTTCCAATCTTCCCTTCAGCATCTCACTATAAGAACTCCCTGCTCCATTCTCCCTGACCTCCGCATCATTCCCTTTAATCTTCTTTTTGCTCTGCTGGAGCAAATCTGCTTCTTCCGCCGTCAGCCAGCCAGAATCGCTCAAAGGAGGAAACACCGCCGCTGAAGTCAAGGAGAGGCTCATGACTAAATTTTTTGTTTTACTTAACTTCTTTTTTTTTTAGGCAGCGGCTAGGGAATTTCAAATTTTGGAACTCCCGTCTTGGCACTCATAGAAGTATCTGCAAAACATGCTATGAGCAAAAAATTTTAAAAAAAATGCACGCAGCCCAAATTGAGCTGCTACTGTTCTACAGTATTTTGGTAGAGGAGCCATTACGGAGAGGAAAATCAGCGGGCTTGGAGTTGATTTTTAATAATCCTAATTATAAGAGCTATTTGACTAATTTAAGAAGATTAAAGAAAGAAGTTAAGTTAGTTATTTATAATAAATAGGTGTTGCTTTTTTTCTAAAATATCCTTACTAATCAAGTGTATTAGCTAGAACTATAATTGTTAAAAGAACTATCTTAAAAAAATGCATAAATATTAGAGATAAAGTGGATTAGGGTATTATATTTTGGACCAAAATAAAATTCAAATGAGATCTTATATTAAGGATCAGAAATAGTATATTATAGGGTGATGAAAAGTCAATGTAATTATTATATTAAAAAGTTTTAGAACAAATAAGTAATATAAACATGTTGTCATTTTCTGTATTAAAGCTTGTTAATTATCATACTGGTCACGTTGGCTGGATTTTTTCCATTAAACCTAGACTTGTAAAATTGAGGAATGGAAGAGAAAAGAAAGATGAGGGATTTTAAAAAAGTTAATTTTTTAAAATAAAAAAATGATATCAGAAGTTAAATATCTTCTTTATTAAAAATTTTTACCATCACTTATTTGTTTGTTAAACAATTGAATTTATTAGAATCTTTTGTTTCCCTCTCCCCTTTTACCCCTCCAACCAGATAGGAAACGAGGGTTAACATCCATACATCCACAGCCTAAACTATTTGTTCAACTTCAACACTATTGGTACTATTCCTGCTGAAAGTTATTCTAATTGAAAAGTCAACACATTAGTGCTTGCTTATCAGATTGGATAACATAAAACATAATTAATGTCATGATTATTTTCATGAGGACTTTTATTATAATTTATATTATATTTTAAATAAATTATTTGGATTAAGTTTAGATTTATAACCAGATTATTTTTTATTTAGGGGTGTTTGGGAAGCTGTAAAAAATGCTTCTCAAAAGTATTTTTTCGCAAATTAAGGTAAACTCCTCCACATATTTACTTCGTATACCGTAAAATTACTTTTAAAATCATAATTTTGTTTTTATCCAAATACTCTCTCAGTAGAATTTCATATTTCTATAAATTTTTCTTAAATATTGAGTTAGAATTGGATAAGTTTTGAGCGATAATGTTACTTGTAATGTTTGGACGAGATTTCAGGTTTGAGTCTGACATTGATATATTTATAATTCTTAAAAAAGTGTTGTGTATGAAAAATTGTAGAGCAGGAAATATAAATTACTATACTACCTCCGGTCTTTAATATAAGACCCCGTTTGACTTTTGTGTTGGTCCTAAATATAAGACCCCAATCCATTTTGTCTCTCATATTGACTCAATTTTTTCCAAAATAGTCCTTCTAATAATTATAGTTTTAGCTAACATACTTGATTAATAAGGATATTTTAGAAAAGACAACACCTATTTATTATAAATAACTAACTTAACTTCTTTTCTTAATTTTCTTAAATTAGTCAACTGGCTCTTATAATTAAAACCGGAGTTAGAGGTAGTATAAAAAAAAGGGAGAATGACATTGAGGTCTCACAGAAGCCAAAATACAGCAAAAAGGTCCCTTGAAATCCCATAATTTTTTTGAAGTCCCAAAGGGACTTAGATGCAATTTTCAGAATCTGTAAATTACTCTCTTGCCCTGCCCTAAGCCATCAGAAACGAAGCAGCAGCATTTCATTTTGGGTGAGACTTCCCGCGCAATATGCTTGAGAAAGAAGACATTGGGAAAGAGGGAAGCAGCCATTGATGATGAATTTCCATGTGAATCTCCACAAACTTTCAGGTGTGAAACTTTCTTTCCTCTTCTCTCCTACCTTTCTTGACAGATTGTGCTTTTGTTTGGAAATGGGAAATGAAAAAATCGTTTTTGTGTTTTTGGGTTGCTTGTGGGTGGTTTTGGAAATGGGATTCACAAGTTAATCAATAGAAAAGCTGTGTTTTTGGTTGGTGTGTGTTGGTGATTTAAGTTGGGTGTGTAGGATAATCATGGGTGCTCTGTTTTTGAGTTGCTTGTGGGTGGTTTTGCTCTATTCTGATGCTAGTTCAGTGGCAAAGGAAGAAAAAGATGAAGGTTAGTGAGGGTAGAAACCCTTAGCACGAAATGGGATTGTGTTGTCAATCAGGCCGCGATTGTTGTCAATGTGTGCCGCTACACTTGTCAATGTAGCTCCTTAAGTTGTCAATGACAGTTGCGTGCTGGTTGATGCAGGTTTCAGTTACTGATGGTATTTCAAAGCTTGTGTTTTTGGTTTAGGATTCAGATGTTAATGAATGGAAAAGCTGTGTTTTTTGTTGGTGTGTGTTGTGATTTAAGTTGGGTGTGTAGAATGATAATGGGTGCTCTGTTTTTGGGTGGTTTTCCTTGTTTTGATGCTAGTTCAGTGGCAAAGGAAGAAAAAGATGAAGGTTAGTGAGGGTAGAAACCCTTAGCACGAAATGGATTGTGTTGTCAATCAGGCCGCGATTGTTGTCAATGTGTGCCGCTACACTTGTCAATGTAGCTCCTTAAGTTGTCAATGACAGTTGCGTGCTGGTTGATGCAGGTTTCAGTTACTGATGGTATTTCAAAGCTTGTGTTTTTGGTTTAGGATTCAGATGTTAATGAATGGAAAAGCTGTGTTTTTTGTTGGTGTGTGTTGTGATTTAAGTTGAGTGTGTAGAATGATAATGGGTGCTCTATTTTTGGGTTGTTTTTGGGTGGTTTTCCTTTGTTCTGATGCTAGTTCAGTGGCAAAGGAAGAAAAAGATGAAGGTTAGTGAGGGTAGAAACCCTTAGCACGAAATGGGATTGTGTTGTCAATCAGGCCGCGATTGTTGTCAATGTGTGCCGCTACACTTGTCAATGTAGCTCCTTAAGTTGTCAATGACAGTTGCGTGCTGGTTGATGCAGGTTTCAGTTACTGATGGTATTTCAAAGCTTGTGTTTTTGGTTTAGAATTCAGATGTTAATGAATGGAAAAGCTGTGTTTTTTTGTGGTGTGTGTTGTGATTTAAGTTGGGTGTGTAGAATGATAATGGGTGCTCTGTTTTTGGGTTGTTTTTGGGTGGTTTTCCTTTGTTTTGATGCTAGTTCAGTGGCAAAGGAAGAAAAAGATGAAGGTTAGTGAGGGTAGAAACCCTTAGCACGAAATGGGATTGTGTTGTCAATCAGGCCGCGATTGTTGTCAATGTGTGCCGCTACACTTGTCAATGTAGCTCCTTAAGTTGTCAATGACAGTTGCGTGCTGGTTGATGCAGGTTTCAGTTACTGATGGTATTTCAAAGCTTTGTTTTTGGTTTAGGATTCAGATGTTAATGAATGGAAAAGCTGTGTTTTTGTTGGTGTGTGTTGTGATTTAAGTTGGGTGTGTAGAATGATAATGGGTGCTCTGTTTTTGGGTTGTTTTTGGGTGGTTTTCCTTTGTTCTGATGCTAGTTCAGTGGCAAAGGAAGAAAAAGATGAAGGTTAGTGAGGGTAGAAACCCTTAGCACGAAATGGGATTGTGTTGTCAATCAGGCCGCGATTGTTGTCAATGTGTGCCGCTACACTTGTCAATGTAGCTCCTTAAGTTGTCAATGACAGTTGCGTGCTGGTTGATGCAGGTTTCAGTTACTGATGGTATTTCAAAGCTTGTGTTTTGGTTTAGGATTCAGATGTTAATGAATGGAAAAGCTGTGTTTTTTGTTGGTGTGTGTTGTGATTTAAGTTGGGTGTGTAGAATGATAATGGGTGCTCTGTTTTTGGGTTGTTTTTGGGTGGTTTTCCTTTGTTTTGATGCTAGTTCAGTGGCAAAGGAAGAAAAAGATGAAGGTTAGTGAGGGTAGAAACCCTTAGCACGAAATGGGATTGTGTTGTCAATCAGGCCGCGATTGTTGTCAATGTGTGCCGCTACACTTGTCAATGTAGCTCCTTAAGTTGTCAATGACAGTTGCGTGCTGGTTGATGCAGGTTTCAGTTACTGATGGTATTTCAAAGCTTGTGTTTTTGGTTTAGGATTCAGATGTTAATGAATGGAAAAGCTGTGTTTTTTGTTGGTGTGTGTTGTGATTTAAGTTGGGTGTGTAGAATGATAATGGGTGCTCTGTTTTTGGGTTGTTTTTGGGTGGTTTTCCTTTGTTCTGATGCTAGTTCAGTGGCAAAGGAAGAAAAAGATGAAGGTTAGTGAGGGTAGAAACCCTTAGCACGAAATGGGATTGTGTTGTCAATCAGGCCGCGATTGTTGTCAATGTGTGCCGCTACACTTGTCAATGTAGCTCCTTAAGTTGTCAATGACAGTTGCGTGCTGGTTGATGCAGGTTTCAGTTACTGATGGCGACTACGTCTGGAAAACATCTATTTTGCTTTGTTCACATAGGGGGAAAGTTTATAAATGATGGAGAAGATAATATGAGATATGTGGGAGGTAGTGTAAGAACAACCAATGTAAAGGAGGGCACAAGTTATGAAGAATTGAAAGAAATTATATCATCAATTGCTGGAAAAGAAAGCAACTCATTTCTTCTGAAATTCTCTGTTGTGTTTGATAAAAAAACTTTTGTGGAGTTGGTAGATGATGATGGGGTGGAACATTTGATAAAGTTCAATGAAGAAAGTGGTCATGTGTATGTCGAAGAAAATGAAAATGAGGACCACATAGAAGCAACAAGAGATAATACAATGGAGGAGCAAGATGTGTAAGTATAGTTTAAGAAAACTGTTATTGTGATTTCTTAGTATGTCAGTTGTTACTGTATTGCTACCAACTTGTCAATACATGCACCCTGACTTGTCATTTTTTGCAGGATTGATCAATCATTTGGAGGTGTCAATGAATTGTCTATGTCTCCACCTACCTTATTTGATGTGATTGGAGAGCCACAATCAATTCCTTGTGCTGTTGAAATGATCCCAACACCTACACCACAAATGAATTCCACAAAATGGAAGGATTTGATTATTGGAGAAGGACAAATATTTCCAAATGCCACTACTCTCCGAAAAACATTATACAAGTACAGCTTATGCCAGAAGTTTTCGTACGTTTTCATTAAGAATAATCAGCAAAAGATCATTGTGAAGTGCAAGGTTGATGGTTGTCCATGGTATATGGGTGCATATTCAATGGGAGCACATCAAGATACTGAGTTTTTAACTATCAGAACGTACAAAAGTGAACACATTCATCATGCACAGGACAACTTAATTGTACCTCACTCAGGAAGGTCAAATTTAGCTGCTTCGATTGTGATTGATGACTTGAGGTGCAATGTTGACAAGAGTCCTAATGAAATCAGAAAGGACTTGTATAAAGAATATGGAGTGCAATTGAACTATACTCAAGCATATAGGGTTAGGAAGAGAGCACTAATGGAATTACATGGTCGAGTAGAAGATTCTTATAAGGTAATCCCTTGGATGTGTGAGAGACTCATGGAAACTGATCCTGACACAGTTGCAAGATGGGAAGGCTCAGATAGCAACCGATTTGAGAGGCTATTCATTGCATATGGATGCTCAATTAAAGGCTTTGTGGAAGGTTGCAGACCAATTATTTATATAGATGGATGTCATTTGAGTGGTCCTTACAAAGGAACTTTATTATCAGCTTGTGCATTTGATGCAGACAATGAGTTGTTTCCTTTAGCATATGGTATTGTTAGCGGGGAAACAAATGATGAATGGACTTGGTATCTACAGAATCTGAAAGAGATAACCAGATCAGCACAAGTGACAATTGTCTCAGATCGGAGTAATGCTATTATCGGTGCTGTCAAGACAGTATTTGATGGTGATAGACATGCTTTTTGCTATCGACATGTGAAAGAAAATTATAGTGCGCAGTATGTGAAAATCAATAGAGGTGTGAGACGGACCTCAGAAAATAACAAGGAGAATGCACTTAATTTACTTGATGGAATTGCATATGCAAGGCATGATAATGAGTTTAATGTTGCAATGGGAAATTTAAGATTGTTTTGTCCTCAATTGGCACAATGGGTTGAATCTCATGGGGATGTGGATAGATGGGCGCAAAGTAAATTTCCTTTTAAGAGATGGGATAACATCACCAATAATCTTGCTGAGTCTTTTAATGCATGGATGTTGAAAGAAAGGAAGCACGCCTTGCCGGTTTTGATACAAGAGCATCAAGAGAAGTTGGCCAAGAAGATGGTTGCTAGCAAAATGGGGATGAAAAGCTGGAAAAATGGTGTAGGACCCAATATTGAATCAAAGTTGTCGGAACAAATAGCAAGAGGTGCGTGTATGGAGGCAACATATTATGGTGATGACCATATTTCGGTGCAGACAATACGTGAGGGACGCATCATCTATGTTGCTGTTGATCTGATTTCTCACAGATGCACATGTTTGGCATGGCAAATGAGTGGAATACCTTGTCCACATGCTTGTGCAGCAATCAAACTAGTTCACCGTAGTGTGTATGATTATGTAGATGATTGTTACAAATTGTCCACACAGGAGAAAATATATGCAAATAGCATGAGGCCAATTGCAACACATGATTGCCCACAGCCTGATGCACCTACTGTGAGTCATATGCTGACCCAAACATTCTTGCATCCACCGATAACCAAAAGGCCTCCAGGAAGGCCAAGGATTAATAGGATAGAATCTCAGTTCCAAAATAAGAAGGTTTATCATTGTGGAAGATGCAAAGAGCCTGGACACACTGCCAAGACATGCAAGAACCCAAATCCCAGCTGAGAACATATTGAAGTCAGCTATTTTTTGTATATGGATGTGAAGAGAATATTTTGTAAATGGGTGTGAAGGAAATTTTTTGTAAATGGATACACACCACTGGTTAGTTTCATTATGACATGCAACCCCTATGTTTTTTTTGGGATGGGTTGTGAAATAGGTGTAGTTTCATGTATATGAAAGTGTAAATGAAAGTTGGCTATGAATTGGCATGTTACATTGTACTGTCATTTTAGTTGTCATTACCTGCACCCTGAGTTGTCACTAGCCCTGTAATGACTTGTCAATCATTGCACTACGACTTGTCAATGAATTTGCTGATGTAAGTTGTCAACAACATGAATTCAAGTAACATAACCTTTTTGACCATGAAATGATATTTACAATCACTTTGTCATATTATATTTTGGTTGTATGGTTATATATAATCATTATTAATGAAGTGTCAAAAACTTACCTCTCCCTTGTCCCCTGTCAGTGGTGGCTCTGTGACATGTCAATGGAGCACTGTTGCTTGTCAATAACAACACTGTCCCTTGTCAATGGTTTATCCGGTTACTTGTCAATGGAGCTCTGTGACTTGTCAATGCAGCACTGTGACTTGTTAATGGCTTCACTGTCCCTTGTCAATGGAGCACTATGACTTATCAATGGAGCTTTGTGACTTGTCAATACAGCACTGTGACTTGTTAATGGCAACACTGTCCCTTGTCAATGGTTGCACTATGACTTGTCAATGGAGCTCTGTGACTTGTCAATGGAGCACTATGACTTGTTTGTGTGAACACTGTCCCTTGTCAATGGTCGCTGTCAAGAGAGCATTGTGACTTGTCAATGGAGTACCGTGACTTGTCAATGGTTGCACTATGACTTGTCAATAGGGCACCATGACCTGTCAATGGGGCACTGTGACTTGTCAATGGAGCACTATGACTTGTTTGTGTGAACACTGTCCCTTGTCAATGGTCGCTGTCAAGAGAGCATTGTGACTTGTCAATGGAGTACCGTGACTTGTCAATAGTTGCACTATGACTTGTCAATAGGGCACCATGACCTGTCAATGGTGCACTGTGACTTGTCAATGGAACACTGTGACTTGTTATGAAATTCTATATTACTTGTCATTAACTCCTGTTATATTAGTTGTTATTTTGGATAACTGACGTTGTTAATTTAATAATCAACCATAATATCTCTGCACATATAAAATAGAAATATAATTAAGAATGTAATAAAACCCTAACAAATTAGTATTACAATGTGATGACAAAGGTAATAATATTATAAACATAACCTGATCAGTTTGTTACAAAATGACCTATTTGCTAATCATCTTAATAACACATATCATGGGCTAAGAGAACAAAAAATTCATAGACTACTCTATCTCCTCTTCTTGGTCTTGTTGTAGTCCGATAGCATCGACATCACTTGACTCCCATGTTCATTACTTGGATGGGTTACCAATCACCACAAACAGCCAACCTTCAACTCTTGTAGCTCATCATTAGAGTATCGTGGCATTGTATATCCTGCATCATCCCGAACGGTGCCATCCCACTCTTGTAGCCAAGAGATAACATGAACTCCACATGAATCACTACCAAGCAAATTGAATATGTTAGCGCCTTGCAATTGTTATTGTGAACAAAAACAACATAACACAATCGAACAGAACATCTACACTTACGTATCATTCTGCACATAGACTTTAGCCCATTTCACTTCGTTGTCAATTTCGTCCTCATTGGCAAACAATTCTGGCTTAACAGCACGTAGCATCGAATGGAAACAGTTCATCTGGAAAAAAAAACACACGCACATAATGAACATCCAGTGACAACTCACAGAGCATGTAGTGACAAGGGACAGAGCATCCAGTGACAACTAACAAAGCATCTAGTGACAACTACCAGAGCATGCAATGACAACTACTACAGCATCTAGGGATAACTAACAGAGCATCCCGTGACAACTAGCATAGCATCCAGTGACAAGGGACAGAGCATCCAGTGAAAACTAACAGAGCATCTGGTGACAACTAACAGGGCATCCAGTGGCAACTAATATATCATCCAGTGACAAGTAACAGATCATTCAGTGACAACTAACAAATAATATATCATCCAGTGACAAGTAACAAATCATCCAGTGACACCAAGCACAACATCCAGTGACAACTACCAGAGCATGCAATGACAACTAGCACAGCATCCAGTGACAACTACGACAGCATGTAGTGACAAGGGACAGAGCATACAGTGACAACTAGCATGGCATCCAGTGACAAGTAACAGATCATCCGGTGACAACTAGTATAGCATCCAGTGACAACTACCAGAGCATGTAATGACAACTATGCAGACTGCTACTAACAATTATAATAGTCATTGACAAGTATAAAAGCTGTAAATAACTACTCACAGTTTGTGTTGCCATGAACTGTTTGGGGTCGAACTGCCTTTTACTTGTCCTCTTTTTCTTCTTCTTTGCGTCATGTTGTTGCTCACCCCCTTCTTCTTTGCTTCTTCTTCCTCGGCTTGTAATCTCATGAATGTGATGCTATCAACCAACGAGTCAAGGGCGTGGAAGGTCATGGTCTTTGTCTCAAAAACATAACAAAACCAATGATCTTCAAATAGAGTAGGACCAAAAATGAAATCGCAATCCCCGATATTGTATCCAATATATTCAGGTAATATTTCTTTTTCATGGTCCTCCCATTTCCACCTTAAAGGATTCGCCACCATTTTCTGCATGAAATCTGCAGAAAATATATGACGGTTGACTCGCCCATCTTTTTCCTTTTGATCTCCAACGAATGTCTTCGCCACCATAGTCATAAACTGAAATTGCAAATACAAACAAATTACAACTCCTTAGCATGCAATAACTCATTCTGATATTAACTATGTACGTGTGACTCACCCTGTCGTTTATCCATCTTCTACGTTGGAGACATTGCAACTCACCACGGGTTAGGAAGTATCCATACATCGATACAAAGTATCTAACACAAATGAAACAATTATGAAGTTAGTAAATTCAGTAAATTCTGTAACATAATACAAAATTGGTCACCAAAACATAATACTTACTGCTCTTGCTCCTCATGGTTACACCTTGCTGTGCACATGTCAAATAAAGCTTGCCTGTCATCAATTGTTCTCTTTTTCCCAGCCTTGCTTTTAAATTCCAGAAATGGAGACCTAAGAGCTTTCCCCTTACTTATCACCCTTGTAGATTTCCTCACATGTTCGCTCCCTTCCCCTTGGGTGGCCTCATCCACTTCTTTGTCCTCTTCATCTTCTTCTTCTCTCTTATTTTCTTCTTTATCTTCTTTGTCCTCATTTCCCTTCTCTTTTTCTGCTTCATCCTCTTTTTTTTCCTTGTCATGTGATTCTTGTCCACCCATCTCCTTTTCTGATTGAGCTTCTTGCTCTTCTTCTTCATTCCTATCATCTTGTGATTCAGATTCTTCTTCTTCATTTCTGTCATCTTCTTCCTCATCCTCTGAATCACTTTCTTTCTCAACTTTTTCGTCTTCTGCTTCAGATTCTTCTGCCTCATCTTTGTCCTCTTCACTTACATTGCCACTACCCTCCATTAGTCTTGACTGAAGGGCCATCATTTCCTCCCCCAGCATAGACACTAATCGAGTATATGTCTTTTTGATCTCCTATACAAATCAAATTCAGAACAGTAAGCAACAGTAGAAAAAAACAAAAAATTAATCATTAAGCCCACAAGTCCACATACCGGGTGAGTTAAATTTTCAGGATCAAATTTGGTGGATTGCTTTGCCGGATGCAAGAGTCCTCGATTGCTTTCCTTCTCCTCCTTAACTCTTTGCTGCACTTTCTTTTCATCCCAATATGCAACAGCATCCTTTACATGTGCAGCTTTTGTTTCTCCCAATGGAAAATTTTGTAGACAATATAACTGCATGTGACATGAATGATAAGTTAACAGCAACCATTGACAACATTCAGACCATCAAATGACAACAGAAATATACAAATTATTGTAGCACTTACCATTAGGAAGTATAGACAACCTGGCACATTCTTCTTCTTCTCAGTCAACTTGCCTTTTTCCAATTGTTTCTTGTACACTCCAATCCCCTTATATAGTTCATGCAACACATAAGAGGACCAATCAAACTTATCCAATCTATCCTTTGTTGATAGTATTACCTTCAACAAATAATCACCCACACAAATACTTGCATTAGGACATAACAATGTTCCCAATGCATACATGACAAACAGCACCTCAAAATTTTCATCTTGGTTCTCCTCAGTCAACAATGATGCTATCTTCTTGTATGGAATATTGCCATACACAATCCTCCACTGCTTGAACACTTCATCTTCATTATTCACAACTACTTTAATCTCTTCTCCGTCAAATGGTAGCCCCAGAAATTCATGCACATCTTTTGCCCTCATTTTCCTTGTCTTCCCTCTTATGGAAATGTTGTTTGATGCAACATCAATGCAGACATAAACTCTCCACACAATTCTCTTTGAATTGTGTGACAACACACTTCAACCAACTTGTCAAACCCTATTTTTTCAGCCTATTCATCAGTTCCTTCCTTTCTTTGATGTGCTTGCAAACTTGCATGAATTGTTTTGGTGCACATCTTGTATAGAAAGGAACAATATACTTCTTGGACTTGGTGGGAGGTCTTTGTGCCTTAGCCCTTTCACAATATTCCTCTCTTTGTTGTTCTGATAATTTATCCCATGCCTTTCTCACTTGTGCATTTCCTGCTTCAAGTGATTTGTACTTCTTTGAGCTTTTCTTGTAGAATTCCTCCGTAAACAAGGCATAACCGGAGAAATTACTGCTTCTTTGTGCATCCTTCCCCATCTGGCAATCTGCTCAAATCCTGAACCCCAACTCTTTCAGACCACAGCAAACTTCTCAAACTAGTTCCAGAAAGATATACCAAAAGAGGGGTTTTTCCAGGTTTCTCAGTATGTCAACAAATGAAACGCTTAATTAGTGATAAAAAGATTCAATTTCTCACCAATAAATGAAAGGCTGCATCATGCATAATTCAGACGCAATCATCAATATGATAATAGAAATCCCAAAAAGGAAAGTAGTAACAATTACAGACCAAACAATCTTGACAAATACTTTGAACTCCAAACAAGGCACATCAATTATTCAGCCTCAAATCTGATTCTTCCATATTATCATATTCTAGTTATTTACCATTTACGCATTTCATACCTCATCTCATCATGTATCATTCTTCTTACAAGCCTTCTTGGAAGTGCTTTTAGAAGGCTAATGCCTCATCATGTATCATTGTTTTAAACATGCTCCAATACGCATACCATCTTATGGTCAAGGGAAAAAAAAAACATGGGCCAAGCATAATCAAAAGCATCCAGCCGTATTTGATGCAAATATTCAGCAATGATCAAACGCAACAACAAACTGCCAAGACATGCTTTTCTGATTCATATGATTTTACCTTCTTCAGTGTCGACAATGCCTCTGTGTGCGAAAAGAAATTGTGAGAATAGGAGCTCTGCTTCAGACGCCGATCAACGGAGCCACCAGGACGACTCCTCTTCGCTTGAAACGCAAATGACCGCAGCCACAACGATGATCTTCACTTCGCTTCTGATGCCGATCAACGGAGCCACCACAACAAGCTCGACTTCGCTTCAAATGCAGATGAACAGAGCCACAACGACGACCTCCACTTCGCTTCAAACGCCGATCAACAGCGCCACCAGGACGAGCTCCACTTCTCTTCAAACACCAGGACGAACTCCACTTTGCTTCAAACACCGATGAACGGAGACGCCAGCACTTCGCTCCGCTTCGCTTCCAACACCAGACTTCGCTCCGCTATACTTCACTTCGCTCCACCAAAACAGAGCCACCGCCACAGGCTTTCAAGGACTTCGGTCACGATTTTCGGTGGGTTGTGAGTAGATTTGAAGCAGCACGGTGGGTTGTGGCCGGATTCTCGCACGAACGATTTCGAACAGGACGAAGGCGCCAGACGGTTTCTTCGATCGAACAACAAACAGGGTTTCAAAATTTTCAGTCAAAGCAATTTCGAATGGGAAATCATAGTAAGGGCAAATAAGTCATTTGAAGATTCTGAAAATTGCATCTGAGTCCCTTTGGGACTTCAAAAAAATTATCAGATTTCAGGGGACCTATTTGATGTATTTTGTTCTCCATGGGACCTCAATGTCATTTTCC